CATTTGTCGTTAGGCATGCAATTTGGTGCTGTTCCAATGCCTTCTTGCTTGGGAAGATCTAGAAAACGAATTAGTGGCCCACAGGGAACAACGCAAATGCACCAAAACATTCTCTTCCGATAGGACTCCCACTGTTTTTCTTTACGAAGGATCTAGAAAGGTTATGCAGCTTTTCTAAATTTTACTCCCTGCTGGTGATGGAGGAGCTAAGAAGTATTTCAGTAATAAAATCTGACAACAGAACTGCTCCTGGGTGTGCCACGGATCGTCCCCTTTTCCAAGTGTCGTTCTCAACCATGCTAATCCTGGGCTTTGATCCAACGCCATTTCAGGATGAACTGTTCATCGAAATATATGGATGAATTGAAAAAGAGATGATTATTTAGCGACTGACGAACATTAGGTCCTTGCTAAAACATGAGGGACACGCCTGTCGTGAACGGAGCCCTTTTTCAGAAAATGTTGTGGACCAGGACGGAATCGAACCATTCCCCTTCACGTTCAGGCGCAATGCGTTACCACTACACCACCGGTCCTTGTGCTCTAAATTCAACCTGGCAGCACATTCAATGTGCGTCTGCCTTTCAAGGCAAGATACCCCTCCCTCTTATTTCCTTTTGTTCCTTCTGGTGGCTTCTCCGTTGGCTTCCCGCGAATTTTGTGCGCTAACGCCCGATATCGGCCATGACATATGGGAGGTTTAGTTTTATGATACAAGCGCCTCATCTTAAGCTTAAATCTTAATATTTAATATTTTAAGATTCCACGAGAAGGGAAACGAAGCTTTTTAGGACCAGTGACGCGCTCCGATGCGTTGATAAGTTGCAGTCGCCTTTACCAGGTTCCTGATGTAGGGAAGTGATATGCTAAGAAAAGCACTTAACAGCAAAAACATAACCCAACTGAGCTTGCTACCAATTGCTTAGGCTCATTTGTGAAAGCGATTCACGATTCTTCACTTTTAACAAGATTATAAAATTTGAATATCAGAAAACTGACCTGTGAACAAACACCGCAATGTTCCAGTGGTCGCTTATGCACTTTAAGATGACGGCGCAGCGATGGTGCAGAAGCCAGCTGAAGTTTTTTGAATTAAGCAATTAAACGAGAAACTCAAAAAAAAAATTTAAATCAAAAAATTTCAAATTTGAAGTCCCAAATTTAGCAAAATACTTTGGAAACAGTGCTACGAGAGGTAAACAAATCTGCTACCAATTTGCTTGTAAGCAGCTGCGTTAGCGGGTAATTGCTAAGGGACAATTTGTGGCTTGGGTTACCTGCAACAGTGCTTTCGCCTCTCACAGGGTGAATAAGATAAAAGCCCCTCTTCGGCAGTTGATAACTTTCTTGTTTTCCACAAAATCACCTATTTCAAGAAACCACAAAATCACCTGTTTCATGCAAATAGGACATCTTGCCGATGTATAATAATTATCGGGATGATCAGCACGAACATGACTGTCCATATGTAGTTTCAACGAGGATTTCAAGGTGAAAGTTCGCCCGCAACGATTACAAGAGTATGGCCGTTCGCCACTGTGGATCCGATAGTGCCGTACCAAATCCGAGGTTTTTCCAAATGCTTTCCCGCAAATACAGCAACAAACAAGTCTTCGTCGTTTATTTTGTTTCTAAAATTTTCGGGCTACTTAGAAAAAAAGGACTTTTTGTAGCTGGTACAATAAGCGGTATTGTCAACAAGGTCTGCAAAATCGTCGGAATACTTATGTAGAGTTCTCGATGCTACCGAAAAAGCACTGATATGAATCAGATCGTAACATTCCGAACTTCTTTTCCCCATAATACAACTACCAGCACATACTGTTAAGCTTACTCCCCAGTTTTTTATGAAAAAAAAGAAGTGGATAGACCCATCCGAAATCCTAATCGTTAAGTTTACAATCGAGAAGAATGGAGAAGTTACCAGCTGCAATAATGGCGAAAAAAAAGAGGAACAATTAAACACCAACGTTTTAAATTATTGATTAATTATAACTAAAAATACCTGCGCACTGGCTGGTCCTTCCTCAGCAATCATTGTTTCTTCAAGCGAAGCTGAAAAAAGTACTGCGCAAAAAAATTATGGAAACACCACTTTAGAAGTACATATATACTTTGACAGTTCGAATAGCTGTCAATCACAGCATCTTTCTCCTATTACTCAGTTGCTTTTGACCAATGCTGCATCGCCTGATGGTCATTCTGGTGATCCAATTGAAGGTCTTACCAACTTCAGGGTCCAGAGAGCCATTCAAGCGTCAATTTACGACCGCACATAAAAAACCCCAAACAAACACAGATTTTCGACGATATTCGCAAAATGTATGGAAATTGTGTGAGCACCTTGTTCAGGATGCCGCTTTCTCACGTGCACTTGCAACGGTTGCACCGAACTAAACACACATGTACATTCGGGACATCGAAAAACAATACGTGATGTAACATCCGCTGGATGCAGCAATCTTACATGTCGACGCAAATTTCCAGCCTGTAACAAATATATACGTTTTCTCGAGAAAAAAAATTTTCGAATAAATTTATTTTTGAAAAAAATAGATCAGCGATTGAGCCTATCAGCACTTCATTGGTCATATTGTACTGTCAAAAAAATAGTGAAGGAAAACCCTCCTTCGAAGTTTGCAGGTATATGTTTATTCATCGAAATACATGAGAGAACTGTGGAAAGGATGGATGTTCGACCGGTCAAATCTAGCTCTTGACTTTTGTACAACAGCAGTGCTATTGCCCACTGCGCCATATCCATCAGTTATTACTACTCAGTATTCTCTAGTAATGATAAAGAAGATATATTCCGTTTAGTAGGAAAATAAAAAAAATAAAAAATAAAAAAAAAAGATAAAAACTCATTCGTACCTGTGAAAAGGAGGCATCACACAATGTACATTTATGGATCTGTGCAGTATCGGAGCTGTGCGTAAGCTTGTGTTGCGCTAATGATGATTTCTGAGAAAATCGTTTTTTGCAAATATCGCAAATAAAGCGACGCTCTTCTAAAAATATTCGAAATCACTGTCTTGATGGGAAGCATAAAATCGTCTTTCATACTGACTAGGGTAAAATTTAATTTGAAGCCGAGAATGTAAAAACTTTAACTTAAAACTAAGAGTTCGAGAAACAACATCAAACGCTTACTTGTATGCACAACAAAATGCCGATCCAGCTCAAATTTTTTGCAAAAAGTTTTGTTACATACTGTACATCTGTGTGCTCGGTCGCCGGGATCAGGCTCTCGTTTTCGCTTCTTTCGCTTCATCGTCTTGCTAAAAAAAACTGTAATGCACAACGGTTCTTCCAATCAAAAGTACACATTTGAAAGAAGTATCGCTCGCGCCAAATTCGCCTGGTGCTACCCTCTGGACACAACAAAAGCATGCCCTACAGAAACACAGGACCTGTTTCATGATGGCAGCGCTGAAAAAGACGATGTGTGGTCCGACTAAAAAAAAGAACAGAAAATGAAGAAATGTGCAAAATAACGCTCTTATATAGGGCTAAAAATTTGCATACTTTAGCATAATTAGCAAAATTAGCATATAAAAAATTAGCATACTTTATTTTGCGATGCAACTGCTCGTGCTCATCCATGGCCTCTTTGGTTAACATAACGATGCCACATTTTTTGCATATTTTAACTGTTGTAACGTCTTCCATGCGTGGATAATAATGTCGCAAACGCATATGTCTATTCAGAAGTGCCTGAAATATAGTAGCTCACAGAACCAAAAAAAAAAAAATATCTCGTGGAAGCAGCAGTTTCCTTTATTGATGATCACGAAAAAGCCTTCAAATCGCCTCCGGTCATTCTCCGACTCTAAATTTATATTTAGACAATTTTTTTTTTTTCAATGTTTACGCCATTGGAAAGCCCCAAAGCCTCCTTGTGTCCATTGTTTGACCTTTTGTCCAAATTTCATAACTCAAGAAAGTAGGCGAAATTCTTATCATGGATGCTCCAGTGAAAACTTTATGTCCTGTTATCAATATTCTGGTCATTCTGGTGAAAGTCCCGTGATATTTGATATTCAAAAAGGATCTTTCGCGGAAATATAAATTCAGTAACAAAGAAAAAAACCTGAAAATCGAATTCTTCTTTACAAAATATACAGACAAGTGAATCGTTGAGGCAATGAATTTGCAGATGCGCATAATATGCTGCTGCACGACTATATTTCTTTGGGCACAATGTGCACACATATTTACCATCTTCCATCACCGCCTGCTCGTGCTGCCCCATTGTGTGCAATTTCAAATTATGCTCCTTGTTATATTCCTTACCACAAGCAGTACATCTGAAATACTCAGATACTTATTCTGATGCATAACATTAATTTTTCCAAAGTCAACGGCAATATTTATCGCTACTCTCTGG